ATGGAACTGTGTATCTACCAAAAATGGGGAGGTATGCGTCCTATTAAAACGTGGCCGCAATAAAGTCGCATCGTGAGTTTTGCGTTCCACTACTGGTGGCTAGTCGTACGTATTATCGTGCGAGGTATCAAACATTGACTCAGTGGGACCAAATCAAGGTGGGCGCGCACAGCAGCCATAAGGCATCGTTTATATTGTCATACGGCTTGCCATATTATGAGTGTACAGTAGAGGCCGTTTAACTCGTTAAGCGAAAAACTCAAACATTTAGTTCCTATTGGTTAATTCATTTTTATAACCTCTTTCATTGGTAAATCTTATACTTTCTGCTGAATGAATTAAATGGCCTCCACTGTACTTATAATTATACTTATAACTATAGTTAGTCACAGCTGTAGAATATATACGCGCACGCGCGCTCGCGTGTGTGTGTGTGTGGGGGGGTTTGTGTGTGTGTGTGTGTAAATTTTATTGGACCAGATTTTTTTTACCAGTTCAATTAGAAAGTACTAATTTTTTTGATGTTACGTTATGTCTGTCCATGATAAGTATCTTATTATGTTAAGAAATTATCCATGATAAACGTACACAAAATTATGTTTTTTTTTTTAATTTCTTATAAATCAATATTTTTTATCTAATTCTTGCAAACGCTATTTACCTACGGTACATAAAAAAATATGAGACTTATGAATTATAATTGGGCATTATGTAATACTTGAAATGTTTTTTGAAAAACAATAATAGAGCTACTCTTGGTATTTTATCTATGTGTACCAACATTTTTAGTTATTTGTCTTCGTCGTCCAACAGTTCTGAAACTTCATATGCATACAAATGACCATAAAAATTTTTAACATTATACACAGACGCAAGTATATACAAATTTCTACGTATTTCATAAGTTTTTTCAACTATACCAAAAATAGGATAATTAACTCTATTTATACCTATACAGAATAAAAAGAATTTTTTTTTTTTAATTTCTTACTCATAACTTTTTCAGAATTTTAGATTGACACTTTTTTATTATAGAATAAATTCCATCATCTGCATTTTCTTTGTTAATTGATTCTGCTCTGTAATCAAAATTTTAGTGTAAGTCATTTACAGTTGATATATATATCTCATGTATCTGTATAGACGCTTACATTGACAGCCACCCATGGAGTCTATTGTAGATGCAACCTTATGGCTGCTGCACACACTCACCTGTGGCCTTAATTCGATTTCACAGGGTCGGAGTTTGGTACCTTGTACTATGGTACGTACGACTATCCACCTGTGGTGGCGTGCAAGTCTCACGATGCGACTTTATTACGGCCACGTTTTAATAGGATGTATACTCTCTCATTTTGGGTGGATACACAGTTCCATGGTTTTTTTAGTGTGGAGGATCGTTTTAAAATTCAATAATATCTGATGCTGAGACTATTTTTTTTTGACTCAATAAAGTTATTATGGGCCCATAAATTGTACAACTACATTTTCAGAATGGTAAAGAAAATGGAACCTTTTTACTGTCCTACAGTTTCAATTGTAACATTGAATAATAGTGCTTACTTATATTTTCTGTAATAAAAACGTTTAAATGTCACTGTAACTCAACTAACAATGATACAGTGCTCTCAAAACAGAAATCACGTGGTACAGTATGTTTAGCAAAGAAAAATCAAGTTCAGCAGTAACTCGGTATGTCAACAGCAGCTATCTACTATAAGACAGCATATCTTTAAGAAACAACGAATTAACCTCTTTGCTATCAAAATAAAACTATATGAATTGATGTAGCACTAAAAAAAATCGTTTACCGAATGACAAATTTCCACCCGCATTACCCACAAGCTGTTATGAATAATCATTTGAGCGTATGCAACAACCATGGATACAGTAAGTAGTATAGACTGTGCGTCTTTATTGACCTTGTGGCTCAATGGCAGTACTATAGCCCAAGTAAGGGCACAGTCCCATGGTAAGAAATAGATCTCCACAATAGACTGTCCACAATAGAAAGAGCCAACAAGATTAAAATAGACAAGTCTGCAATAGCTCTGATTGGCTGTTTTTATTGTAGACAGTCTATTGCCGAGCTATATTTGGTATCATGGGACTGTGCCTCAAGAGTCTTCACGTCCTTTTCCAATACTTTTAATGCTCACGTTTTAGTGCAAGAAAGCAAAAAGTCTTTTGACGTACCTTTCCTTTTATGTATGTGTTTAATCTATGAGTACATTTTTTTGCGATACGATCGGTTGGTCAGTGAGTCAGTCCAGTTCACAATAATCAATGTTCAATGGTCCATGCTTCATGTATAGACAAATACCAATCAAAGTTTTAGCTGTGCTCTGTTACATCCACACACAAAGGAATATTCTCACTTGCCTTACTTAGAGTACGTATAGCTTTTCCCTATAGGTCGCACGTTGTCATACGATCAGCCATGTCAATTCCGATTACCGCAATCGGCTGGTCGTGGCACTCGCATGAACGCTATGTGTTTCCCCGTTTGTTTAGAGTAACCGTTACTATGCTAGTGAAATGACAACATGCCACCTGTAGGTAAACGCTACATGTGCACTAAGCAAGTTAAGTAAAAATATCTGTTTGTGTAAAGGTAGAATGGGGGCTATTTTGCCACTAGGGGAACTCGCCATTATATGGCGTACTTAGGATAACTTAATACATCTATATGTTATGTGAGTTTTTGCACATAATATAGATGTACGAAACACACGCGAGTACCTATGTGATGGCGGGCACCCCCAAGCGGCAGAAAAGCACCCATTATAGAATGCCCAACCAAGCCAGAGTCCAGAGGGACGTCTGAGGCCGTAGCATACAAGTAATTTTCTTTTTGCGGGTTTATGTTATAGGCCAGGTGTATGACGGGTGCTGCCCTCATTTTGTCCTTAAGCCCATTTCAAATCTTATAAAAAAAAAATAGTTCAAGTGACGGTCATTGGCAAAGTTAGCCCATAAGATACAATGATAAAGTGACAAGTGGCACCAACCCTACCCTCCACCATAATACACCTAGCGTACAACAGGCTTATGTACAGAAAAATAGTGCCATGGTACAGCTCCAGAAGTTGTGAGAGAGAACGTGTTCTATGTTATTATTTTTGATTCGCTCAATCACCGGGCGCGAGGTGTGAATCGGGGGACTGAAACAGCTCATCAGGAGTGGTTGCATAGGGTATATTTTTTGTAGTCAGTTAGTTCCATTTCTTAACGGAGTGTATCTATATTCACTATGTATATTATGGATGTACATTCTAGAGGAATTGGACTGAACAACTGACCCATCACAAGAAAAATGTACCTTGTATGTACAATATGGGTCCCAAACTCTATGTAGTTGTATGTTACATGATATACAACTTTATAACTACGAATAGCATGTATACCCAATTAAAAGTGTCTAATAAAAACGAATAAAGTCTTTTTTTCTCTTTCTAGTCGTTTTTGCACTTAGAAAACCACATAAAATACAAAAACATTTAAACTTGGAGGCTTCTTGAATTTATTTCTATACCAACACAAGATTAAAAATAAGTTAATTCACTACTCAAATACTACCATCTGTATGGCAGCACTAAAACAGGGGGATTCAAGTATTTTACATGAAATATAAAAAAAAAAGAAAAATAAACTTCTTACAACAATTCCACGTAAAATACTTGAACCATCCTGTTTTAGTGTTGCCATGTAGGTGGTAGGTCTTAAGTAGTAAATTTACTTATGCTTAATCTTGTGTTGGTGAAGAAATAAATATAAAAGGCGTTAAATTTTGAGCACTATTAAGGTAAAAGCACCAGTACGTAAACAATTTTTCCATAAAGTCTTTGTTTTCTCATTTTTATTAAGTTTATGATTTGCATAACAACAAAACAGTCATTGCGCCAGAAAGTTTATATTTTTTCCTTTAAAAAGAAAAAAAAAAAGTTTTTCTAGGTCATGTGTACAATTAATAAATTAATTTTAAAGTTTTTTTACCAATGACCCAGTAGATAAACAGCGTGTTCAGGTATTGGTACCGATACGTATTTTTGACCGAGTACTTGAACATCCCATGTTAATTAAATGGGAGAGAGGTTATGTAAGCTGTCTTCTACTGATTTCTATTTTTATGATGTATTGCAAATAATCAAATCGAAAAATGTCTTTCTAATTTCATTGGTAACATATTATGAAAACTATAATGACTGGCTTGACATACTATTATTATTGATTAACAGTGATTTCAATCATTTTTATGTGTTCAAGTACTGGGCATAGGTAAAACCTAATGGTACCAGTACCTGAACAGTCTCACAAGCCACCTCATAAAAGTTGCACGAATAAATAATTTCATTCTCGTTGAGTATAAAGACTTACTGAAACATAAATTTTGTTTTATCTAAAGAACGATCAAAGGATATCAGAAAAAAATTTTTTTTTATTTACTTAAATTGAAAATAGTTTATTCAAGCTGTTCAATCTACTGGTGCAATATTAGGAAGTGTTCACGTACTAGTGCTTTTACCTTATGTCTTATGTGGTTTTTCACATGCAAAAATCGACTAGAAACAGACAAAAAAAATTTTAATCAGTTTTTATTAGACACTTACAATTGGATGTATATCTTATTTGCATGTAAGTGGCGATAAATTTTTTTCTTCTAATCTATAAAACATTTTTACGACTTGTTTCATGTATTTTGTATTTGGTTAACGGATAAAAGTCTATAAATATATGCTCAGTATAACAGTTTGACTTATATCAAGTTTTCTTATTGTTTATATGGAATTATAAATTTTATTCTATGTCAACGCAAATAAAATCGAACACATGTTTTGATTTTGACAGTATTAAAATGGGTTCATTGTAAATTATGATTTTTATTAATAACATATTGCTAAAATAATGTATAGGCGTTTGGAGAAAAGGTACAAGAAGTATTAGTTTTAGAAAAAAAATTATAAGTATACCATGTAAGATAATTTTTAACCCATAAAGAGATGGGCACTAAGCAATTACCATTTTATAGAGATTTAAATAACAACATAATCATATTCATGGAAATGAAAACTGTAGTATTGCATCAGAGTGCGATGCAAATGATGTAAGTGAAACGACAATGGAAATGCGTAATGCATCTATTGGCTTAAATTTATTTCATGAAGACACAGGAAATGCAACAGAGAGTATGTGCAGTGAAAGTTTATTAAGTAATCTTGGTGAGTTCTTAGGCATTAATTTATAAACTATTTAATGTGAAGTTAAAAGCACAAGATTAACACTTAACAGCACATGACGTGACTTCTATGACTTTGTTCTCTGTAAATGACTGTAGACATAAAGTTAAAGAAAATAATGGTAATAACTTTAATAACATGTGGATAAATAGCTATAAAGGTAGGTTTATCAATAATAAAGTGAACTCTAACAATAACGTTGATGACTGCAATGGTAAAGACAATAACATTAAATAATACAAATTTTATGGTTCTTCTCATTATCATTTACTATTTTTTAGAGATTATAGTGTCGAACATATCTTCAATAAATGATAATGAAGATGATGTTGGTATCCATAATGATAATGTTGATGATGACGATGATGATGAACTTACAAATGTTGAACGTGATGTAAGTAACATAATTTTTTATTTTATAAAGAAATAAAAAAAAAAATTCGTATGTACACATTAAGGAAGTCACTTGCGAGTATAAAAAGAAACGGATCTTGCAACCCTAATACGATGCAAAATTTCTTTTAATGACTGACTCTCTTTCTCTATCACTGCCTGTCTCTTAGTAATGAATGTTCAATGAATAATGTAAGCTGTACAAAAAATGGTATATGCAAGTGTGAATAATGCAAAATATTTATGGAACTCATTGAAAATATGCAAGTACTAGGAAATAACTGTATGTAAAAGTTTTAATTGTTGAATTGCTTATTTAAAAAAATATGCTTATGGTTAAAAAAACATTTACAGTCAAGGTTGTAAGCTATAATCAGAAAAGTGGCTAGAGCTGGTGTGCGTCATGAGTTCAATGCTACATTGTTTTTGTTTTGATAAGAACAAGTAACATCTGAACAGTTCACTTGTATCACTTGTTTTAGATTTAATAAGACAAATAATCTTATCAGGACCCCATTAAAATGACTTCTTTAACTCCAGGATTATTAGGAGGGGCATAAATCACCAAGGCATGAAGTACAGATACGAGCGCCCGGGCGCGATTGTTATATGTTGGTGCCCAATTTGAGTATTTTTTTTTTTTACGAGGGCGCAAAGTGCAATTTGGTGCCAGTGAGAACACTCTGCGCCCAGTAAATCACTTTCGTACGTTTGGGGAAAAAGTACTTTGTGCCTATGGTAAGAAATAGTAGTTCTTGTCGCATGAGCGCCATCACTGTCGGGGTGGTTTTGCGGCCTAAGGAACCTACGAAGCAGAACCCTAAGCATCCGTTAGGTAATAGCCCTGATTGGATAACACTTATGTGGTGGATCCTACTTTTTTTACAAACAAGATCTTATACATACTAAAATCCGATTTAGACAGTAGTGACATTGAAAATCTCGAAGTATACACTACATTCATAAGCAGTTGATCGTATAGGTAAGAGTGGTTAATATAAGTCACCGCCCCCCCAAATACCGCATATCCAAAATATTTACTTTGGGATATGCGATGTAAGTTTCTCTTACATCTAGAATCATAAAGTACAGTGGTGCTATATCAAAATTGTCGATGTATGCATTGTATACTTTGAGATTCTTGATGTTGCCACAGTCGACATCGGATTTAAATACGCATACTATCTTGCGTGTACCGAGTGCGCAGTAAACGTTTAATTCGAAGTGTTAAGTGGCTACCAGCGGTACCCTGGTGGTTGGATATTAAACTTTATGTTTTCCAAATAATGCGTTTAAATTGTGGTGGTAGTGTTAATAAGTCTTAATTATTTAATTTAATTTAACTGGATTAATTATACAATCAGTAAAAATTTATAAAAATGAGTTGCAAAAAGCTAGTATTTGTCTGTTCTGTGCTTGCTTGTTCCAAAAAATCATCATTCAGGAATTCCCATCATATATTTTCCAATGTTTATACAATATTTTATTTACCTAACCTTCTTAAAAGTGTATTTACACTCTTTTCAAGAGACTGCAGGATAAGTCCAACAACAATTAAAAAATTTCTTCAATTTACTGTTTTTTATTTTCTAATGCAGTACACACAAGCCAGTGGATTTCAGACAGAAACACACTAATTTTATTTTATTTAAAGATTGTGCCTCCACGTAGCACAGTAAAAAATGTGATGTCACGAAAAAATGTAATGTGATATGAAAAACGTGAACTCATACTTGTGTGATTTTGTCACCATACTTTAAATGCGTACTTTAAAAAGCATATAGTTTAAAGTCTGACCACCAAAATAGCGCTAGTATTCGCTTAACATCTTAAATAGTGTTAGAAAACTCCAGAGATAGGAAAAAGTATTTTCCTGACCTCGGGCATTCTTGAAAGGCTTGTAGGCCCTCAGTACAAAAAACAGTGTTTGGCACATAAGTGCCATCCATTCGGGACTTCTTTAAAGTCCCTTGGGCCTGCTTCGTAGGACCGTCAGGCCGCAAAATAGCCCAGAGACGATGGCACTTCTGTGACAAAAACTACTATTCTTCTTATACGCCCACTGAAAGTACGACTTTGTTTCCTGTATTTAGAAAAAAAGTGCCACATTCCTCCCAGCTAAAAAAAAGCATATACTGCTCATGAAAAAATTATATAGTGCTTTTTTCTGCATGGTTGCCTCCTGAATAATGTCAAAATATTCGACCTCATAATCAGAAAACGAGATTTTTACCGGAGAGCTTATATTGTATTAATCTCCCAGAAATCAGGGAAAAACGTCGTATTATCAGCAGAGGTAAATAAAGTATCGTTAACGGGACTCAGAATGTACTGTATCTTTTTCTATGTAGATGGTTTAATGTGGTTTTGCAAAACAATTTATTTGTAATCCTCATCACTTTTGTTCCAATATGTCATCCTTTTGTCCCCTTATACTAATTAGAAGCGCAAGTTTTTATCGCATTCGTTTCTTGAGTATCGAAATCTTGTGAAATATGGATTGCGTTCGAATAAATCGTATTCACATACCAATCTTATCCCAATCGTTATCGTAATCTAGCATGTGAGTGAAGAAGCAATAGGTTTAGTCTGAAAAAATTTTCAGTTATTATTCAATGAGATTATATAAAGTCTAGCTTTCTTCTTTAACTAAGTAAATCTGCACAAACTCACCATATTTAATTTACTTCAAAAAGTAGTTACAATTAGATATTAATGTGTTTATGAGGTTTTAAAAATTTTTTGTGAGTAAAAAAATTTTTTACAATAAATAAGACTTTGTTAAGCAAATCCTAGATAGTGAGATTGTGAGTATTGAGTCAAAGAAGAAAACTAGCTTTGATTTAAGTTAATCAGATTATAATTAAAACTGTTAAGGTTAAAAAACTGTTTGTTATTTACTTACATTATATATTCATAGTTAGATTAGTGAAAGAAAATGTTTTACAATGATCCTTGTTAATCTGACAGTATTGAACATTATTATGAATATGATAATATGTTATTTGATTAAAGGATGTAACTTCTCTTTTATGTACCTTTACAGTGGGAAACAATACCTTAAGGTGAATGTACAAGTCAGTTGCCATTGTAGTAAAGTTGTTATCGAAAATACATAATAAGTATAGAAAAGAAAAAATTGTCGCATAGTATTTGTATTAAAGATATAAACATTGTCATTAGTACTGGGAACAAAAATTTTGTTTGCAACTGCAGAGCAATATCATTACTGATTATCTGATAAAATTAGACACACGAGAACATGGCCACCATGAATGAAAATTTTTCATGCAACCCAAATTTCAAGACCCAGTAACTATCCACTTAATGTTATTTGTATAGTATCTTACATTGTATATTTACTTGGACTGGCCATATGTAACGCTGCGTTATCGAATGACGGCTAATCACAAATGACCTCTTTTGACAACCACTTTTTTAAATTATTAAAGTGAAAAGATTCGTTTTATTGTCAAATAAGATGTAAATAAGATTGTAAAAAAATATATCCTCTAATTGGATTTTCGTATCTGATGTTTCCTATAATGCATGTAATCTTGTTTGCAGCCAGATGCTGCTACTAATTGTTACCTGGTTAGCGATTTGTACATTTACCTTGTATATTGACAAGCTTTTTACGAAAAATTTTAAGTCATGCTTCATTTTACTATGTCCAATGTACACAACATGCTCTGTATGTATGTGAAGAACTAGATAAAAATAATGTCTTGTTTACTTGTAACGTTTGTAGTACAAGACAAAATTTCAAAGATCCTAGCTACAATAATTATTTTGTAGTTTTGGATATTGAAGAAGAACCTAAGCATATTTTTGAAGTAAACGAACAATACTATTGTAATGCATAATAAAGCTGGGTTTAACAATACTTTGTCAGACATACAAGATGGTCACATGTACAAAACGTTTGTAAAGTCTTTTCCCGTAGAAAGCCAAAATTCTTATGTTACTTAGACGTTTAATACTGACGGACTTCCTATTTTCAAAAGCACGAGATATTTGGTGTAGCCTATACAAGTTTATCTCAATGAAATACCTCCAGCAGAAAAAATGGCAAGACCAATTACTTTTGCATTATGGTTTGGAAGAGATAAAACAAATACGAATAATTTTTTAACTCTATTTGTGTCTAAAAGAAGAAATCTATCGATGAATTGTTTTACTTGTAAAAGAAGTTGCTGTCTAACGAAAATGAAGATATTTACAATATGTTCTTGCCTTGACTCAGTGGCGTGACTGCAAGGATTCACTGAATTTAATGGATATTCCGGATGTGGATGGTGCTTACATCCTGGCGTAGCAATAAAAAATAAGAATAACGATAAGAGCACTGTAAAATATCCCATTTAAAATTATATTCCGTTAAAAAGAACTGAATAAAATATTCTGCAGTTCACCCAAGAGTTAGTTGACAATCATTGTGAGTCAGCCTGTGGTGTAAAAATGGCATTTCCTGTATTACTTTTGAATGGATTTGACAAAATGAGTGGCCTTATACCTGATATAATGCACTGTGTTGCACTAGGTGTAGTAAAGCAGTTCTCAAGTTATTGGTTCCAGCGATCCAACAGTTTATCCAGATTTAAAAAAAATAAAATAAAGGCTATCGATAAATATATTAGAGAATTAACAGTACCAACACATTTCGCACTACCCTTCCAATCAGTAAACGATAGAGAGCTCTGGAAGGCCCATAAATAGGATTATTGGTTACTTTTTTACAGTTTACCAGTACTAAGAAGTATTAGGAGGTTAAAGAAGTCTGAAAAGCACTGGTCACTTTTTGTTGGAGCGTTTGGTATTCTTATAAAAGATAACGTTAGTGTAGATGAATTTTTCCTAGCTAATAGGTATTTGAGACATTTCGTAGAAAAAATAGAAGTGTACTTCTCCAAAAAAGCAATGACTTTCGATATTCATTTACTCACCCACATAACTCAAAGTGTAGTTGACTTTGGTTCCTTATGGTGTAATTGTGGTTACACTTTTGAATCGGGTGATAGAGATGTTGTGAGAACTGTATTCGTAGCATAACGTGTAATAAACCAAATATGTAGGAACCTATCTTAATGACAGAGTCTTAACGTCATGATAAAACATGTTGCTGCTTAAAAAAAAATCTTCTGTTATTGAAGACTGTGTTTATTTAAAATATAGGTTTACTCGTACATCTACAAAATTGAGTAGCAGCAGATATTTTGTGAAGAAGCAAATCGTTGATCCAGTGTACTTGACTGAAATAAAGCTTCATCAAGGCAGTGTCCATGTGTATTAAAAAATGATAAGAAACAGTTTTGTATTTAAATCTTGTCATAAAAAATTAAAGCGATCCGATAACTCTTTTGCGATAACTACCGGTAGTAAGTACATTTAAATAGTACAATTTATTGTTGACGTCAATGATAAAAAAAATATACTGTGTATCGAGAACAAATGTTAAAGAACTTTCTTTATAATACTTGTAAAAGCAAAAAGAAAACCATAATAGATAATCATACAAATATTGTAGAAACAAGCAAACTTAAAAAACTTTGTGTTTCTATTTCTTTTAACAATAACCCTTTTCTATTAGCTATCCCAAATTCGTGTGTTTACTCTTAGGAATGTAGAGATATGATATTTTTGATGTATAATAACTAATGTTAAAACTTTTAATATTTTTATCTAGTTGTATATCGGTCTATTTATGTAATACTTTTGTTCCAATATGTCATCCTTTTGTCCCCTTATACTAATTAGAAGCGCAAGTTTTTATCGCATTCGTTTCTTGAGTATCGAAATCTTGTGAAATATGGATTGCGTTCGAATAAATCGTATTCACAACTGTAAGTAATTTTATATAAAAAGTTATAATATTCCATTTTTATTTATAAAGTTACCCGTACGAAGCACTCTATATACTACTTGGACACAGTTAAAAACTAACCTTGGATATCTACTTCGATTTCCATCTAAAAATCTACCTAAAAAATCAACTTTATTAATTTATTTCAAGCTTTGGCTACAAACTTATTTTGAAATCCATCTGAAAATCCACACAGAAATTCATCTGGAACATCAAAAGAAATTCGCCAGGATTTTACCTGAGCAAAATAGATTTAAGGTAAATTTTTCTGGTGCATTTCTAGGTGAATTTTTTTAGTTGCATTGATGTCCCAATCCTTGCCTTTGTGCATAACTTTTCACTTGCATTCTTTCCTTTCATCATACAACCTACATATTTTATTAAAAACTCTTAACCCACAGTTTATCAATGAAGATGTTGGGTAACAGATTCTAAAAACTCTAAAACTATGTAAAAGGTCGTTATATCCTCTCTGTGTTTATGTAGTTACCTTTACAAATTATTGTACATGTCACTTATACAAAGTAATGAATGTACCTAGAAAATCTTACTATCTATCCATCTTAAAATTCACTTTAAAAATTACTTAATAAATTCACTTCTAATTTCACCTACGAATCCGTTTGACAATCCAAGGATTCCTGTATATTATCCACTTACTATTTAAGAGTTTTTCTTAAGAATAATATGCTAAAAAACATTAAGAAAACCTCTTAAACAATAAATCTAGAGATATACTAGCGTTATTCAAAAAAACCGACCACGATTTTTATGTAAAAATTCAGAAAGTTGGCACAGTATACAAAAATTGTAATATTTAATACATATTTCCATATATTCTTTTAAGTATGATAATTATTTTGGTATATTATTTCAATATGTCACCTGCACTAAGTAAAATATGAAACAGGAAAAATCTATCTTGATATCCGTTTAAAGAATCCACCTACAAACCTCCTGTACTCAAAAACGTAGACGCTGATCTAAAAAATTTATAACAAAGATATGTACATTATAATGAAGAAGAATAGTCATGAATTCAGTGTATTTTAAAATTCTTTAGAAAATTAATTTGGCATAGAGCCAAAAAAAGGATTGTATTATGTAAATGCTTGTAGAAGTACACTTAAAAATTTTCTGTGTCCAAATAAAAGATAAAACTGATATCGAAGACCAAAGCTACAAAAAAATTAATTATTTAAGCTTACATAAGCTTTAATAATAACACTAATCATCTTTTTAACGATCTAATAGTTACGTGTGAGCCATATAACATTTGCTCACGATTGTACTACTTACTGTTTTGTCGACAATAAACACTATCTGATGTCTAGTTAAGCGGACACATTATCATGTATGGTACAACTTATTTACTTGCCTTAGACGAATACATCTACACTTAACGAGTCAGAGAAGAAAGCAGCGACTCTGAGTTAATATATAAGATCTGATCACACACATTCATAGACACTTTCAGTTCTATGATAAGTGTAGTCTTAAAACCAAAATTATGCAAATAGAATGCATAGCTATGTTAAAGTGTTATCCTATTTGTTACTTACTGTATACTTATGAAATAATACGCGTTAGATATCAATTTCTTAGTTTCTTTAACTATCTCATAAATACAATGTGCTGCATACCTGTACCCCTTGATCGACAATCACTTGAAAAAGGCAGGTCGCAAAGTTTTCATTTCCTTACCCATAATTGTGCATACTGAAACTATTTATATGGAAACTTAAAACTGTTAAGTGTGCGCTGTTAGATTGGAAATGCTGATAGCGTGTCTAGATAATTAAATTTAGTTTGTATAGCTCTTGTTAGTTTGATCTAGTATGCGTAATATGATACATAAAATCATGAGATATTTTCAAGACTGGTCAGGAGAGAGCAAGGGACGAAAGTAGAAAAAACCGTCAGGCTTTATCCGTCAGTACTCAAAAAATCAAGAAGAAAACAAGGAAAGGGGTGGGCGTCCTTACCAAAATTAACTGGTTATGTGTATAAACATATTTAGCTCTTTCTTCTTCTTCCTATACATTAATATAACATAAGGTAAAATAAATGTTAGGACGCACAAGATATTAGCTTGAACTTTTTAGACGAATATATTTGTACATTTGTATCAGTAAACTATGTGCACGTCATTATAATCTTGTTTTTCTGAGTGCCTCACTGTACATAATGCATGTTTACTCAAGAAACTACAAATGCTACGGATTTCATCTACAGGGATGTTTGTATAGATTATATTTACTCCATTGACAACATATTGTATTTAGTTTGCAGATATTCGAGTGTGATAGTTATATGCGTTTTCTTGGTCAGGTAAAAAAAACAAGTTAATTGATTTGTTTAGTATTTTTCAAGCAATTAATATTTCAACCTCGATAAGCTGCTTAAAATAATCGTGGAAAAACCAGCCGATCAACATACTTAGTGTCTATAGCTATGTTAAGAAACTATTGTTATTATGTCTGTCACAGCTTATTTTGTCAAAATATAATGGGATCTGTAGAGGTAGAGAATAATGTGTTTTTCGTACAATAAATATGGCTTTTTTGACATAAAATGGATTTTCTAGAGATAATTTTTTCATAGCACTGCACTTGCTTGCGCGTGTAAATGAGAATTGCAGGGAATACTTTCAACACTGACATACTTATCTTTAACACAGTATCTTGTCCACTTTAAAACAATTTTTATGACCCTCACTATTAGTAAGAGTAAAATAATTGTATTAATGTATATTTACTACAAATGAAATAACAGTATATAAAATATTGTGGCAAAATACCATACATGATTTTAAAAACATTAAGTAACACTTTATGTTTGTGGAACTTTCAGCAACAGTTGAATGTTTAACGATAGAAATCTATGTAATTTACTGATTCATTAATCCAGGATTTATTAAAAACTCTTTTCCAAGTAATAGTTTTTACTGTCAGATAATGTATAAATGTAGTTTGAAAGTTTAATATTAGACCACGTCAACATTCCATAGACAAGCATTAAAAATTCCCACGAATAATCTCACATACTACTGCAAAGTAATAGAGTTATTTACTATCTTTATTCACTTTTTTTTCAACCTTGGAAAAGAAAATGTGATACATTTTTCAAGCAATAAAAAATAATTTACATCGTTGGCCTACTTGATAAAAACTAAGTTTCTCATCTCTTAGGTAACCGCTTTCTTTTTAATCACATTAAAGACTAACCTACTTTTAACGGCTTAACAATAGTCTTCTTCTTGCTGTAGATAAGGATGATAAGAAAAAAATTTTTTAATTAATTACGTGTACGCGTGAGCACTTGATATGAGCTTTTGTGCATAGTATTATAATTTATTTTCAATTTTCCAGTTTAAAGTATCTCATCTAGTAAAACCAAGCTATTTAAAGGAAGATGCAAAAAATGTATTGATACTGTTAAAAAAAGTTGCTCTG